ACGACACTTAAAAAATTATGTTTGCTTTAATTTTCATTAAAAACCATGTCGATTTTGTCAGAAACTCATACCAAAATTATTTAAAATATTTCTGTAGATGAGTATTTTGTTCTCCAAATTGATAACAGTCTTAAGAATCTATCTTTTACAAACAAATTCCTTGTTAAAGTTGTGCTAATGACTTGGCTTAACTGAATGTTGTGTTATTTCTATAGTCCGAGAGTCGGGTTTATGTTCGTTTACTTAGCTAAGCTTCGATTTACCATAATCCCTTGGGATACCGTTGACTCGACAACCCTGACTCACTCACTCTATCGCGCAAATGAATACTACTCACTCACTCAATACCACTCACTCGATTCCACTCACTCTTAATTTGAGTGAAATTCTTTTGCTTCCCTGAATGTTCTCAGTCTGCAGAAGGCGATCGTTGAGCTGTCTACCTGCCTCTGCCGCTGTCGCTGTCGCTGCCTCTGCCCGCTGCATCGCCAGGTAAACGAGTGCGTCCCCGTTTCCACTCGGGGACTCGTTTCGCCTTCGTCGCGATTCGTTTTTAGTGAGTGCTGTGCCGTTCCGAGGATCAGTATCCTTTTGGCATCCCGTGAGCGCGGTCGTCAGCCGCTCTCGAACTTCTTCGAATGAACACTAAACACTAAAATCAATATTAAATTCTGATAACGAACTGAAAACGCGAAACACGTTTGTTAAGTTTTTGTTAAATGAAAAGTACGTGCAATAATTGTTAAATTTATTTCGTACTTGAACCAAAGTTATAACTATTTGTGTTGTGAAAAAAGAAATATAAAACCCTTGCTGAACTAATATCAGCTGCAAAATTTTGGATTATTACTGCATATTTTGGATATATACAAATTAATATCGTTACACAAAATGGATTACAAACACGATCTTAATTCGGATGATGATTTCGATTGCTCCAATGGCTATAGCGATAGCTATGGCAGCAATGGACGTCAGGTCAATCCTAATGGACTGTCCAAGGCTGAGCTGAGAAAGGTGAGTGAAGGACTAAGATATGAGGGAATTTATATAGTACAGAGAATGATATTAAATATAAATATTAAATATACAATTTTTCTAAAATTAGAATCTTACAATTTATAATATTTTATTAGGCTTATATTGTTCCTTGAAATATAAATTAAAATGAATGTATAGCAGTACTGAATAATATTTATAGTTCCTTAAAAATATCTGTATAAGAAGATCAGACAAGAGTCTGTAAAATAATGAAATTATATTACTCTATATTATTCTATTTAGGTCAAACAATTTCTTTAAAATATGATCTATAATTTACCCTGAATCTTCAATATCTAAAGGTTGGAACAAAAACCATTAATTCTAAATAATATTTGATAAAGTAAACAATCGAAAACCATTTTCAAAGACTTTTTTTCTAATTTCAATCTAATAGTTTTATTTAAAGTAATTCTTCATAGTTTATCTTATTTACAAATATCTTTTGACTTTAAATATTTCACATCATAAATCAATAAATAACTTTTCCCAAATAAATCACAAAATTAAATAATTGAACTGATTAATTAACCAATTAATAAACCCCATTCTTTATCCTTTTTTAGACCAACAAACCCATAATGGAGAAACGTCGCCGGGCTCGCATTAATCACTGCCTCAACGAACTCAAGTCCCTGATCCTGGAGGCCATGAAAAAAGACGTGAGTATCTATATCCTTTACAACAAACCAAAAGAAAGTTGCCACTCCCTCTGATATTTAAAAACTAGACCCCCGATCTATATCTCAGTACACTTTCCATATAAATTATGTCAGACCATAAAAAAACCCTTGAAACACAAGTGTCCAAAAGGCGGCAAAACTACAAAAAGGATTAATATATAAAAAAAAACTCGACAACTCCTACGACATATAGAGAGGGACTGTAAAAGAAAAAACCAAGGCTCTAATTGAGTATTAAATTTTATTGATGATCATTACACGAGAGCGCCGATGAGGAGTCAGTCAGTGGAGAGGCCAAAAAGTGTTAACAAGTCGAGGAATTACGCAGAAATCGCCGGAGATGCGAACGAAACCAGTTTTTCCAAGGAGTGATCCTGCTGTGAGAAAACTACAAAGCAGAAATCAAGCCGCCGCTGATGCCGCAGAATTCTGCAGGAGACTCTGCACCAGAAGACCGAAAATCAAATAAGAAAGACATTGAGGGAAAGAAGAAAAAAACCAAAAACCAAAAACAAAAAAAGCAAAAGTAAACAAAAGGTTCAGACAGAGCAGAGAGCGGGGCGAGGTCGGAGCGGGGGTATGGCGAGCGACCTGCGTGGGAACCTTTTGCTAAAATATGCAGTCCCAGCGGGCGAGAAAGAGATGGAGATCATGGGTGTACGGGGAGCCAAGAATCACAAAGATTGCACTGAGCGAAAAAAATCTAAATATTAAAAAATTTCAAACTTTTCAAGACGTTCTTCTTAAAAAAAAAGCTTTCGATAAGAAACCTCTTTCAGAAATTGTAAGTTTGTTAGATTTCTAATAGGTTCTTTTAAAAAAGGTACCATTTCCGATCTTAGACTTCTTTTTATAACATTATATGTTTAACGAAAATATATATTATTTTTAATGTTGCTTATAAAGTTTGTTCAAAATAATTAAAAATTAGTTTTGAAAACACTGTAATATAAAGTGTTCTGATCTATTTCCTAAAAAAGATCTTTCATAGCTCAAGAAAAATCATAAACCTTTTGTATTTCTCCACTAAAATCCTAGTTTTCTCAGAACTTCTTCAATTTAAATTCAAACCCTTAGAAACTCCCCATTTCTCTCAGTGCAACAGAACAATCTTCATTCGTTCTTGTGCTGCTGCAGTTGCTGAATCCTCACCTTGGTCGTGTGATATTTGCAGAGTGGACTGGACTGAAGTGGACGGCAGATTACACGCGAATAGTTGGACATATGAGGCACGAATCGTGTGCTCCTTAACTCCCTGGAACACAGTTTCCCAGTTTCCCAAGCCATTGAACTTGTTGTAGGGCCCAAAACAATTAGCCTTGCCAACTCCAGGCCGTCTTTATTTCATCATTATCTGACTTTGTCTTCTCTCTCTCTACTTTTAGCCGGCACGTCATACCAAACTGGAGAAGGCCGACATACTTGAGATGACGGTGAAGCATCTGCAGTCGGTGCAGCGCCAGCAGTTGAACATGGCCATCCAGTCGGATCCCGGAGTGGTCCAGAAATTCAAGACGGGCTTTGTGGAGTGCGCCGAGGAGGTGAATCGTTATGTCAGCCAATTGGATGGCATAGATTCGGGTGTCCGTCAGCGGCTCAGTGCTCATCTGAATAACTGTGCCAATAGTCTGGAGCAAATTGGATCAATGAGTAACTTCAGCAATGGCTATCGTGGCGGAGTCTTTCCGGGTGCCACCACTGGAGCAGCTGTCAGAGCTGCACCGGCTCCTCTATTCCCCTCATTGCCACAGGATTTGAACAACAACAGTCGCACCGAGTCCTCGGCTCCGGCCATTCAAATGGGTGGACTCCAGCTGATACCCTCTCGTCTGCCATCCGGGGAATTTGCTCTGATTATGCCCAATACAGGAGGATCCAGTGCTCCGCCGCCAGGACCCTTTGCCTGGCCGGGCACAGCCGCTGGAGTGGCAGCCGGAACAGCCAGTGCTGCCTTGGCCAGCATTGCCAATCCCACGCATTTGAGTGATTATACACAGAGCTTCAGGATGAGTGCCTTTAGCAAGCCGGTGGCTAGCCAGGCTGCTCCAGGATTAGCCAACTCCATGCACACCCAGCTCCCAGGACAGACACAGCTACCGGCGAAGAACACCTCCAGCAGTCCGCCCTTGAGTCCCATCTCCTCCATATCCAGCCAGGAGGAGGAATCCTCACGGACTGCCTCGCCCACTGTGGATGTGCTGAGCAAGCACAGCTTTGCCGGGGTATTCTCCACGCCGCCTCCAACCAGCGCCGAGACCTCGTTCAATACCAGCGGATCCCTGAACCTGAGTGCCGGGAGTCACGATAGCAGCGGATGCTCCCGATCGTTGGTCCACTTGCAACAGCAGCAAGTGAGCTCCACCAGCGGCGGCATTGCCAAGCGGGAACGGGAGGCTGAGGCTGATTCCAGCGACTGCTCCTTGGATGAGCAGCCGTCTTCGAAGAAGTTCCTGGCCGGCGCCATTGAAAAATCCGCCTCCGCCTGGAGGCCCTGGTAGAGAGATCTACTTAATCACTTTCTCTATGTTAAGTTTATTCCCAAATTTGTTAATTTATTTCATTGCAATTTTTTCAAAGATTTAAATCAAATGCTTTAGAACTTATCCCAAAACCCCATTAAGTTTTCAACGATTTCTATATGTTCTTCTTAATTTTTCTCTCATTTTTAAGTTCAGCTGTGATTTTTGTATATTTTTTGTGTAATTCTCATTTAAGTATTTTTTATATACGCCTATTATGTAGTTCATTAATAATGTTCTTATGCGATGTTTCTTTATCCTTAACAAATATTTAATTGACTAAAACAAATGATAATCTGTTTAAGTTATGTAGATTTTCTTGTATAGTGTGTGTTTATGATTAAGTCTTTCAAGTTTCTATTTTAGTGTTTCATTTTTAAAGATTATAATTTTAATGTTTAATGAATACAAAAGAGTGAAAATAATAATAATAAAAGACAAACAAGATGAGAATTTACTGTAGAAAGGTTATTTCAGGGGGAAATGAGTGTGTGTAGCATTGGAAAATCGGAAATGAATTGATAGTGTTCGCGGAAAAAGCCTTGTATCTGCCATAAATGCAATTTCAACATATTTTCAATGATCTACTAAACCGATAACGACATCTATAGCTTACTGACAGAGCCTATATAAGCTTGGAAAATTCATTTAGTTCAAAATTTTAGTTGGAAAACAAAAGTTATTACAGACGCAGGCACGCAGTGATTTTCAGGCGTGTTAAAAATCCGAGTTTGTTTTAAAAAATAAGATTGTTACCATGTTAAGAAAAGCTTTCTATTTCTTACTTATTATGGCCATTATGCCACTAATTAGTCTGGCAACTGATCCTGATTCTGAAGTCGAAGAGAGCCTGCATCAATATCGTGCTTCTCCCAAACTTACTGGTCCTGTCAAGCTCCTTCATGATTCTGAAGATGTTATTTTAAACACTTTGGACACAGCTTTGGAGAAGATTTCCACCATCTACATGCAGGCTTTGTTTGCTGGCACCCACTCCCCAGAGCTGGAAGCACCACTTCGGGCTCTTGAAATGGAATTATTCGACCTCTTGGATCAGCTCTATAAACAGAATCGTCTCAAGGACTATATGCAGTACGAGGCGGAAGTGACGCGACAAATGATTATCTACAATATGCTCAAGAGATTGTTTGGTTACACGCAGGATGAAGTGGATGTCGCTGAAGGGACCTTCTGAGCAGTGCACTTTAATTATTAATAAAATAAATAAATAAATAATAATAAAAATATATACATATTATTTAATACTTTGCCAGTTGTTTTTCTAAAATTTGCTTACAAATAAATAATAAACATGAGAGTTATAAGAAAATAAAATAAAGATTGAACTTGTTCTCTATAGCTATGACTAGGTCGCAAGTTATTGATTGTAAATAATAAAAAAATATTTAAAACTATAGTCGATCATTAATATATCTATTTCGTAGATATATCCTTCGCAAGAAATATTTATTCACACTAGCTCCTTGAAAAGAAATTCAAGTGTAGAAGAGATTCAATAATAATTATCAACTACAAATTGATTTACATCCTCATTTCCCATTTTAAATTTTTCCGGCTGCCCTTTTTTCCTTTCCCCCTTTCCCTTTCGTTTTCTCCCCTTTTTTCTTTGATTTTTTATTAAAAAAATTTGATTTCACTTCCGTAATAACTTCCGCAACAGCCTGTTCCATGTTCTACTCCTGGCTTGCGTGTGGCTGTCGAGTGTCGCCCCCGACTCCTTAGGGATCCTGTGATCCTTCGGTCCGAACCTCGGTCGGCACTTCCCACACTCAATCATATCGGCGCTGCTGTTACCCGATCCTGCTGTGAGAAAAACAACAACACCTCCGCGAAGAATTATCATAATTTTCATTTCCTCTTTACGCTATTATCCTTTTGCATTTCCCAAATACCGTTGCACTTGTCCGCGTCTTCTGCCGGTGTGTTTCCCACACATCCTTGAGATCCTTTATCGTTTTGCTTGTTTGCTTTGTGGTTGTTCGTCCTGCGTACGCCTTGCATTCCACTTGTCTCGCTGGATCGGATTGGATCGGATCCTTCGGTTTCATGCCCTTTTGTGCGCTGTGTTTGCGCTGTGATTTGATGCTGGGATCGGTTGGGCTTGGAATCCTTGGGATGTGAGTGTATTTTTCTTTTTTTTTGTTGGTGAGGTTTCGGCTATCACTTTTGTTTTTACTCTTGATTTCGATTCTTGAGAATCGCTGTGGGAATTCCTTGATTTCGTATAATTTCAAGAACATTGAAATTTTTCACTATTTATCTTCATTTCTTATACCTTTGAAAGGTATTATAATTTCAGTCAGGAGCTTGAAATTCAATGAAGGAGTTATTTCCGACCCTATAAATCATACACATTCTTGATCAGCATAAACAGACAAATCTTTCAAACCGAGTCGAAAGGAAAATTTTACTTTTTAATTTTTTTTCGTCAAAATTGTCAAAGATTTGAGAAAATTTCAATCTTTTACATTTAAAATTAAGTATGCAGATTTATTAGTCTAATTTAAATTTAATGCTTTTTTGGCTGTGCTATGCGATTTTTAAACTTTGATTTTTCAAAAAAATTTCATATAAACATTTTGATAAATATAGATTCAAAGAATTAACAATGTTAAGCTTAGTTATGATCGATTTCTAATTCGATGTCAATAATTCAATTGCAAACTGCCAGGATATATAAAATTCGGCTTTTTGCAGGAAAATGCGTTCAAAATGACTCATATAATAAGTGTATAAAAATATTGATTAAGATTCCTGTATCATATTCTTATGAATATATTATAAGTACTCTGGCGATAATTACTAAAGGAGTCGTTTCCGACCCTATAAATGATATATATTCTTGATCAGCATGAACCGAATCGATCTCCGTATGTCAAGAAGGAAACAATTGTTAAAATTGTTGAAAATTCCAGATTTAATAAGTTTATAAAAACTAGCATAGGACAGCTTTCCGAATTGAATTTAATGCACTTTTGATCAAGTTATGGTATATTTTTACTTGGATTTTCAATAAAAATATCATATCAAAATAGTGATTTAAAGTCCCTAGAATTTTGATATTTTATGTAGGACTTCAGCTTCCCGAAATTATTGATATTTGAGGTAATTTCTTAGGGAGAAACTTGTTTTCCATTACCCTGGATAGAGTCCCTATTGCGCCTCCGCCTTCTTTTGTCTCTGCAAATCCCGAATATTTAATTGTCATTTAACAAATTAACTTGCCAAACAAACAAATAGAATATAGCTCTGTGGAGATTTTTCCCACAGACAAATTCCTTTTGGCCACAATAGAGTTATTCCTGCTGGAAACAGAGTCATGCCGTGTTTTTAGCAGGAACTCTCCCACACACACACACACTCAGTGCACTTTGAATATGCCCCTGTGATCCTTTTTCGTTGCCTTTCTGCTACAGAGAAAAGGATGAAATGTATCCCGACTACCTACCTGTGTGTGCATCGGCGAATTCAAATCGCATGCATTTCTCACACAGAACAGAACAAAAAGACTAGAAACCAATAGGTCGTCCTGCTGAATGGGCCCAGATCCTATCCTATCTGCGTTTCTTGTGGGTAACAAGTGTATCTATCGGTATATATATGCGTGAGATGGCGGTGATTGAACAGCTTTGCGCAACCCAACCTTAGATATAAGATGTTTCCCTTGTGGAAAAGTGTTTCCTTTTGGTTTCCCAGGCATTGTAATGCGGATATGCTGCGGATTCCTTGGGAAAAGAATTCATAATTTCAGCCCCTTCTCTATCTCCTTTGATTACTTTAAGAAAACACTTGCCTTTTATTATTGCGAATTAATGAATATTTATTTTTAGGTTTTTTACAATTTCCTTAGATTTTTTTTGCAGTGCTTAACATTTATATTGTTTATGTCTGTAGAGTTATTAGATTTTTTACAATGTATATTTGTTAAAATTTGGCTTTGTCTGAGCATTATTTTATACAGGAAAAGTGAGATTTTCTTTCAATTTGAGTTGAAATTTGTTGTGCAAACTAAATATTGCTACACATGCATTTAACTGTGTAAAGTATGATGTGAGAATGCAATTATTTCTAAGCAATTTGCTTGCTAATTTGTATAATTATTTCTTGTGCTGGCTCCCTCTCTGTATTTTGAGAGACTACTAAATTAATTTAAATGCATTTTTTGGTCAATCTCAAGGGACGAACTCTTGTTCTTGTTCTTGTTCACTAAATTGGCAAATTGTTAGTGATTGATCGAATTGTTTTCTTCGCTTGTCCTGTCTAAATGTTAACTAGGCTGCTGCTTTTGCGCGGCAATAAATTTATAAAATATTTACAACGTTCTCTCGTCTATTCTTCAGCTCGCGAGCTTTAACTAAATCTAACAACTATAAAAATTTACAGATCCACACATACATATATTTATATACTATATAGATATATAAAATTCATTTATCAAAAGGCGCGCATTGCTTGTAAAACGTGTAAACAAATGACAAGAACGTCTTCTTTTGACCGACTTCACGGCTAAGGTATATATAAGGACATCATCATTTCGGGGACATAACAAAGGGTAGCAAGGCTGCCCAAGTTACAGCTCTTTGGATGGAGGTGGGCCATAGGTCAGCCCAAAAAAAGAAATAAAAATTAAAACCAAAAAATTAATTAAAAAAGGAAACAAAATAAAATACAAAAATGTACACAAAAAATCGTTTAAAAAATTCGTTATATGGCTAAGCTATCAGTCCATTTGTTCGAGTTCAAATCGGTATTGAGTGTGTTGCTTGGGATGTGGGCTATATCCGTCGACTGTGCCTAGCACAGCTCCCGTTCGGAGCATGTCAATCATCAGAGTATGTCCGGCGTATGGTTCTCATCGTGCGTGTGCTGCAGCAGACCCTTCCGCTCATCCGGGGCTGTGCTATGGGCTATTTCCGTGCTCACTGGCTCCGGTATGGCATCCGCGTACATGGATTCGTACACGGGATTGGCAAAGTTGCCCTGCAATTATTAAATATTATAATAAATTTTGATATATTAACTGAATTGCTCTATTACCTTATCATCTTCACTGGCAAAGGTGGGCGCCTCATCCGCATCACCTCGATACATGGCATTGGTAAGCATGATCTCCACATTATCCGTGAGACGGGCATGCGAAAATGGTTGAGCTATGCGATGTTTTCTATAGGAAATAATATTCATTTAATTAGTTAAAAAGTCATATGAAATATTTCCAAAGAAAACTCACTTCAGGAAATAAACAGCGCCGGCAAACAAGGCAAGCACCAGTAGAATCACAGCCAGGATGAGCGCAAGAACCGAGAAGATGCCTCCGCCCGACTCATTCGCATCCTGTTCGCCCTTCAGAGCATCCGCACTGTCCACCAGGCAAGGCACCACCTTGTTGTCACCGCACAAACACTCATTGATGGAGCTACCCGGACGACAGACATTGCACACACCGCCGACACAAGGTGGTGGTCGTTCGCAGGCATTGCCTTGCCACTCACCAATGCAGCTGCAGTGTGGCAATATATACTCATCCAGGTGGCAGACGCCACCATTTGCACAGTACCGGATACAGGGATTATCCTCCGAAACGGGCGTCGTGCAGAAGTCGCCGTTCCATTGGTCCGTGCAATTGCACATTGCCACTCCCTTGATCACATGGCAAGTTCCCGAATTCTGGCAAATGATTGCCGTACAGGGATCCCTGGCGGGTATCTTGGCAGTGTCGCAGAAGAGCGGCGGAGATAAGGTCTTGCACAAATCCGATTCACAACTATCCCCAATGTAGCGAGGTGGACAGGTGCAGGACAGGCGACCACCACGCTCCAAGCAGGTTCCACCATTCTGACAAAAGTCCCGACAAGAGCTAGATTCACAGTGCTCGCCATAGAAGCCGCTGAGGCATCTGCACTGCCGCTGGCCCTTGGAGCCGATCACGCAGGAGCCGCCGTTCTTACAGAAGTCGGCGCACTCATCGATCTCGCATCGCTTGCCCGTAAAGCCATCTGGACACTCGCACTGTGGCGTTCCCGTCAATGTTTCCCGACATATGCCACCGTTCTCGCAGGTGAGATTCACACAATGTTCGCACTGTTCGCCGGTAAAGAGCTTCGGGCAGCTGCACTTCATGCCCTCCGTCTCGGAGAGTAGGCAAGATCCTCCATTGTGACAACGACTCTGGCAGATAGGCATGGAGGTCTCGCATCTCGCTCCCGACCATCCGGCCGTGCAGGTACACTTCAGTGGCGGCGGATCCAAGGAGCCAGGCAGCTGCGGTGCCACCGAGCATACACCATAGTTTAGACAGTGACCAGAGCAGCGATAGTGTTCGCACAGCTCACCCTCAAACTGCGGCTGGCAGATGCACTTGGGCACATGATCCACGATCTTGCATGTGCCCAGGTTGCACTGCAGCGGGCAGTAGTCTGGGATGTCCGCATGAGCCTTACAGACCTCCTCGGTCATCACATAGCCCTCAGGGCAGCGGCAACTGAAGCCACTGGACGTCTCCGAGGAAAGAATGCATAGTGCACGTGAGGGCTTGCAAGGATCCTTGGCGCAGGGATTGCTGACTGCAAAGATAATAAGATTAAATTACAAAACCAAATAAGAAATAATTAAAAAAACATACTATTCCTGTTCTGCTTCATGGGATGCAGAATGCCAATGTCCGAAGAGCGATAGCCCTTCAGTAGATAGGTGCCATTATCGTTGCCAAATTTGTTCATCTTGATAATGCTCTGATCATACAGTTTGATGTACAGAAAGTCCTCAAACACGTCAATCTTCTGGGGCTTCTCCCGTGTGCCAAAACGCCGCACCACATTCCGATCTTTGCCATTGAGGCGACACGTCTCGATTGTTCCCTTGCGATAGTCCGCCCAGTAGAGTCGTCCTGTGGGATAATCCATCGAGAGACTGATGGGCCAGCCCACATCGCGTTCCACCAGACTCTTCTTGTTGCTGCCATCCAGGGAGGCCACCAAGATACCATTCTCCAGCGTGGACCAAATCATTATACGCGACTCGGGTTCCAGGACAATATCCGTGGGATTCATGCCTGTCGACACCAGAGATATGTACTTCTTGCCCTCGATGTCTGTGGCCAGGATCTGGTTGTGTCGCGAATCTATGATGTACACCCGCTGCGTAATCCAGTCCACAGCTAATGACTTGGGATCATCCAGTTCCGGAATATTGAAGGCGGTGAGCTCCTTGAGATCTCGACGCACTCGCACTCCAGTGCCCTCGACATGCGGCGTGGCTATCTTCATGGTGTGCACCTTCCCATGATGCGAGTCGATCCAGAAAAGCAGCGTATCCTTTGGCCTGATTAGTATATCAAAGACATCGATCTTGAGGCTGTCTGTTTGGAAGAAGCCCACCACAGTGGTGCCTTCCTGTTTGGCTGGCAATATGAATCGGAACTCCTGCTCTGAGGCAAGCAGCAATATCTGATCCGGTCCGGAAGCCAGGCAAGTAGCATTCTTAGCCGTTCCCTTTTGGTAGCCTTCGGCGCACTTGCAGTTAAAGTGTCCCGCCTTCTTCTCAATACAGATCTGCGAGCAGCTTCCAAATCCACACACCGGCGGCTGGCAATTCATCTCATCGGATCCATCGATGCAATTGTACTGCCCATCGCAGCGGAAGATCTTGGCAATGCAGTCATCATTCTCGCACTGAAACTGATCATGCCGGCACTTTGGCAGCGCTGCACACACCTCATCCGACTCGTCCTCCTTCTCATCGCAGTCATTGACGCCATCGCAGAGTGCAGAGTTTCGGATGCACAACTGGTTCTTGCACTTGAAAGCATTGGCATGGCAATGGATGTGGGCACAGGTGGCGAAACTCTCGTCGCTGCCATCCAAGCAGTCGTCCCAGCCATCACACTTCCAGCGGGACATGATGCATTTGCCGTTGCCGCAGCTAAAGTGATCCGAGGGACAAGTGCAGTTGACCTCATCGGAGCCATCGGGGCAGTCATCGTCGCCATCGCATTGGTATTGCCTGGAAAAATCAAAGTGGTATTAAAATATTTATATAAAGATAGGTTAGGAGTCTCCTCTTACGTGTTAATGCAGGTGTTAAAGGCTGCGCACTTGAACTGCTTCTCCTTGCAGGTAATGTTGCAGTTGATCTCATCACTGCTGTCATCACAATGAATCTCTCCATCGCAGCGGTAATTGTGCTTAATGCACTTGCCCGTTCCGCAGCGGAACTCACTTTCCGAACAGTTCCTCATTTGACAATTAAGCTCATCGCTGCCATCACCACAATCATTCTCGTAGTCACATCGCCAGCGTCCTGGTATACATTTGGAATTGTTACACTTGAAGTAAGTGGGATCGCAGGTGGCCTTGGAGGTGAAACAGCTGGCAGGCTCATCTTCGCTATTAGGACAATCAGACTCATCGTCGCAACGCCAGGCAAGAGGAATGCAGCGACCAGAGTTGCATCTACAAAGAGAATAAAGCTAAATTAAGAAGGATTCAATGTATTAGAAAGACCTTTACTCACTGGAAGTCATTGGGTCCACAGGACACATTTTCACAGTTGGCCTCATCCGACTTGTCCGGACAATCAATGTCGTCGTCGCACACCCAGACGTACGGCATGCACCGGTTGTTGCCACACTGGAACTGGTCCTTCTTGCAGACGAGTGGCGTGCATCCAGCCTCATCCTCCCCACCGGGACAATCACTGACTCCATCGCATCGCTTGACATTGTCCACACAGAAGGCACTGGTATTAGCAGTTGCCCCACACTTGAGATGCGTATCGAAGCAGGTGAACTTGTCGCAGTTAAGCTCATCGGAGCCATCACCACACTGATTTGTGCCGTCACAAATGTGCGATGGATGGATGCATTTCTTGTTGGCGCATTGGTACTGACCGGGTTCACAGTGGAAGGGTGGACAGGTCTCCGGCTCGTCGCTGCCATCACCGCAGTCATCCTGGGTGTCACAGCGCCAGTAGAACGGAATGCATTTGTAGGTATTCACACACTCGAAGTGAGCTGCAGTGCAGTTGGCGCGACAGGTGCGATTGTCGGCTGCCAGCACAAAGTTCGTGGGACAGAGACATTTGTAGTAGGGCTCCTCCGGCGACAGGACACACAGAGTGGAGCAGTTTGCCTTCAAGCAGGGATTACCGCTCATCGGCTGCTGCTGACGATACGGATGGAACACCCGCAGATCCATCGGTCGGTGAATGGTGGTAATCAATGTGGTGCAGTTCTGTCCGTTGAAAATGCTGCAGTACTCAATGGATTTGGTCTCCCAGTCCGACCAGTAAATGTGCCCCTCCCACACGGCAATGGCAAAGATGTGATGCAGATTGAGCTCCGGATTGATGCTCCTCGCCAACAGCAGACGCGTGTGATTTCCATCCAAATCACTCACCGAGATGGTATCCTCCCGGGCATCGCCCCAGAACAGCTGCTGCGTCTCAAAGCTAATGGTCAAAGCGTTGGGCCAACCCAGACCATCACGGATGATCATCCTCGGGTTGGAGCCATCCATGCCTGCCTTTCCAATATGTGGATTGTCTCCCCAATCGGACCAGTAGATGTGCCGCTGGTACGGATCAAGGGCAATGCCGCGTGGCTCCCGCAGATGCTCGTTGATCAGTACTTTCCGGTACTTTCCATCCAGTTGCGATACCTCGATCGTATCCAGTCCCTTGTCGCACCAGTACAGATTCTTGGCCACCCAATCCACGGCCAAGCCGTCGGGATTCTTCAACATGGCCTGGTGCAGGGTCTGCGTCTTGTTCTCCTTGGGGCAGTGCCGCTTAATGGTGCCCACTGTGCTGGTGACATCCGACCAGTACAGGCACTGACTGTCCCAGTCGTAGTCCAAGGCCACGGCATTGGAGAGCTCGTTGATCAGAATGGTGCCATTGCCCGACATATTCACCTGCCGGATGTAGTAGCGATTGGAGAAGATCAGCTCCATGGACACATTGCTGGTGGCCTTGCAGGTGTGACGATCTACCAAGGCGTACCCCTTGGCGCACAGGCACTTGTATGAGCCGTAGGTGTTGATACAGGTCTGGGAGCAGGGCTGTTGTTCGTCGCACTCATCGACATCCGTGCAGAGATGTGGACTCTGGGGAAGAACCTTATAGCCGGGACTGCAGATACACTTGTAGCCCACAACCAAGTCCTCACACTCATGTTCGCAGATATCTATAATGAGGCACTCGTTGACGTTGCAGAGCTCCTCGTCAGAGAAGTCGCCGCAGTCGTTCCTCCGATCGCAGAGCAAATCCGCACTGATGCAGGCCCCGTTCTTGCAGCGGAAGTCATCGGTGCCATTGCAACCCCTCGTGTGGGCACACAGGTGGGGTAACTCATCGCTGCCGTCGCCACAGTCCCGCTTTCCGTCGCACGTTTGGTTCTTCAATATGCATTTGCCGTCCTGGCACTGGTGCATCAGAGATCCGCCTGGGCAGGAGTGCGGTACAAAGGCGGGCACACAGCCCTCGTACTCGTCGTCACCGCCGGGGCAATCCTCGTCGCCATCGCACACGTACTGGGAGTCAATGCACAGACCGCTGGTGCAGAGATGTGCCGGCGGCGGACAGTCGGGAATGTGAGCGATGCTGCCACATTGGGGTCCCTCATCCTCGCTGCCCGTATCCCCCGGCCCGCTGGGACAATCCTTCTCGCCATCGCATACCCACTTGTGGGGTATGCAGCGACCGGAGCTTTCGCACTGGAAGAGATGTGGCCGGCATGGTCGACTCGGGCACTGCGGGCCCTCGTCTGAGCCATCTTCGCAATCGCTCTTCCCATCACACTGCCAGCTGGCCGGAATGCAGCCGTTGTCGCAGGCAAACTGATGGCCATGGCACTCGTGGCGGCAACCCAACTCGTCGCTGCCATCGGGGCAGTCCTTCTCGCCGTCGCAGTGCCACGCAGCGAGGATGCAGTTACCGGTGGCACATCGGAACTGGTTAGCATCGCAGCTCACATTGGTGCGATTCGGGCAATTGAGCTCATCGGTTCCATCGGGACAATCCGCATCGCCATCGCAGCGCCAGCTGGGCATGATGCAGATGGTGCTATTGCCGCAGTGCTCGAAGGCCACGTTGCCCACCTCGCAGGGCATGGGAGCGCACATCTTCTCGTCGCTGAAGTCCCGGCAATCCTTCATCTTATCACAGACGAACTTCCTTGAGATGCACTCTCCGCTGCCGCAGCGGAACTGATCCTGTGGGCACTTGCAAAGCAGCTTGGTCTCGTCGCTGCCATCGCCACACTGCTGCACACCGTCGCACTTGTGCTCCTTAGGGATGCAACGATGGTTCTGGCACATGAAATGCGTATCCGGGCACTGGCGGAAGATGCAGTAGCTGCGCCACTCATCAGAGCCATCAGCACAATGGGTGACATTGTCGCAGGTTAGCTCCATGGGGATGCACTCACCGGAGTGACAGTTGTACTGCAGGGTGCCGCAATTCGTGTTCACGGGGGCGATACAGCGGCGTCCGTCGGGCGCCAGAATGCCCTGGGTGCAGTGGCAGGTGGCCTGTCCGCTTGCATTCAAAATACACACATCCTCGCACTGGCCATTCAAGATCTTGCACTGATTCTCATCGCAGTTGATGCTGCTGTTCTGCACCGCCACAATGCCCATGGGTCGGGTCACATGCTCACGAAGGAAGAGAACATCCGTTCCGGTGTACTTGTTGGCCCGCACCACGGCGTGGAGCACCCAGTCCGTCCAGAAGAGCAGGTCTCCATACACAGCCATCGCGAAGGCGTGTTTGGGTGTGGAATGTGCCAAGACCACCCGGTTGGTGCCGTCGTAATTGGTGCGCTCAATCTTGTCCAGCCTGGCGTCCGCCCAGTATAGTTTCTGCTGCTCCAGATCCAGGGTCAAGGCATTCGGCATCTTGATGTCCTTCTTTATGATCATCTCTGTGCCGTAGCCAGTGAGGTAAGAGCGCTGGATGCAAGGCGACTCCTCATTCCAGTTGGTCCAGTAGATCATGCCCAGGCAAGGCTCCACGGCAATTCCGCGCGGCTTGTCCTTCTCCCTGAGACTCAGCACGTTCTTCACGTGCTTCTGGTTTTGATCCGCCTGCTTGGCGAGATGACCGAGCTCTACACTTCTAATGACCGCATTGTTATTATTCGATGTCCAAAATAGCTGCTCGTTAACCATGTCGTAGGCCAGACCCTCCACTCGCTCCTGCTGGCCAACCAAAACGCGCTGGCCGCTGCCATTGAAGTGCACTTGATTAATTGTGCTTAATTGGACATCCGAATAGTACACCAGTTGCTCCTCGTAGTTGTAGCTGATGGCTATCACATTCCTCATCATGCTGCTGTTCGATATCATTTGCACCGGCCAGTTCTTGTTCGCATGCTCCGTCATGTGAATGCTCTCGATGTTGCTGCGATAGCTGAAAAGCAGGAAGTTCTCGTACGGTTCACAGGTGACTCCGTCCGCCGCCAGCCGGCTGTGGGCGCAAGCACAGATGGCACTGGTGCCGTTGAACAGGCAGAGCTGCTCGCAGCCACCGTTGCTCTGGGCACAGGGATTGGTGCCGCGCTGTATCCGCTTGGAGTATATTTTCAGATCCCTGATGGCATCCTGCTCGGTCTCTAGGATCACCTTCGAACGACTGAGGTTTGCCAGAGGCGCCACTCGAATAGTGCCTTCATTGTACTTGTTCTCTGCCCAGTAGAGATAATCTCCCATCTTGGCCAGCGCCACTGGGTTGCTGAGGGTCAAGTTCAGCAGCTGCTGCCTTAAATTTCCATCGTAGTCCACCTTCATCAAGGCATCAGGGTTGCGCTCACACCAGTATACCTTGGTGGCTTCAATATCTAGAACCAGGTTGCCCACAGCCCAATTGGCACGCGTCTGGTTGACCAGGATGAAAGGCTGGCTGCCATCGAGGCCCACACGCCCTATGTGCTGCTGGGTCACATAGAAGAGCAGGCCTTGCTGAGGATCCACCGCGAGGGCTGTGGGTTTATCCAGATTGGAGACCACCACATAGCGATGGCTGCCATCCAGACGGGCTACCTCGATGAGATTGCGCTTCGTATCGCTCCAATAGATATTCCCGGCCACCCAGTCTATGGCAATGCCGCCCAGCCAGTCCTGTTGCTTGTAGCCAGCCAGATTAATGGCCTCCAGAATGGTCTCCCTCTGGGTGCCATCGCGCTTCACCCTGGAAATGCTGCCCAGTTCATTGTCACCCCAGTAGAGCGTATCCGTGGCCGCCAAGTACTCAATGAAACTGGCGGAACTCACACGGGAGATGGGAACCAAAGCCTGTACAAGATAATATATATTAGATATTTATAGAAGAGTTTTTTAAGCAAGATCTAGCTTACCGGAGCTGGCTGATCAAACTCCTCCGAGGGATCAATCATTTCCACGCCCTGCAGCACATCAATGGAGTAGAAAATGAACTCAGCTCGGGGTATACAATGTGTGGGATTCTTGGGCTCCACATCGTAGCCAAGGGCACAGCGGCACACATGATCCGTGGCTGAGATGGCCAGGCACAGCTGCTGGCAGCCACCTCGCAGAGGTCCAGCACAAGTATTCGTCCCTGTCTGAGCTCCCGCATAGAACATCTTCATGCTCTGTATGCTCTCTGGCAAAAGGAAAAGTAATGTTAATCATAAAGATTTATTAAAGATTAAAGCTGTCTTACTCGTGTTGACCCTTAAGTAGGACATGTTGGAGCAGAGCTCCTTCTCGCACTGCATGATCACACTCTGTATGTTCTCTGGGAAGTACAGAGTATCATTATACACAGTCAGTGAACTAATCGAGGTGATTTGGCTGGCCACCAGCACTTTGTGTGTCTCATTCTTGGGAATGTCGTAATAGGCAATGCCCGAGTTATCGTAGGCATAGTACAACCTCTGTGAGTCAAAGTCCATTGTCAAGCTCTGAAGACTGTTTTCATGCTCATAGATTAATGCACGGCCAGAGCCATCAAGATTGGATTGCTCCAGCTGGGACAAGCTGCCATCCGAGGCGGTATGGATCCAGTACATCTTCCCACTGTTAGGAAATCATAAGAATATGCTTGGAATAAAGGCAGGCAGATAACTCACTTGGCTGGATCCAGAGCAATGCTGTCGACCATGTTGAGATCTTCATGGATGTGGGTCACATACTCCCCCTTCAGGTTACTTGCTAGGATATTGCACTTGATCTGACCCGAGGAGAAGTACATGTTCCGACCAATCCAGTCGATGGCAAAGCCATACGGTTTCTCAATGTTGGTGTTAATGATGGGTTCAATCAAACCATTCGAGATGCCAGCACTGGAGATCTCATTCTGCTGGATGTCCGACCAAAAGATACGACTCTCGTCCACCAGAAAGTCAATGCGTTGGGGAGCCACCAACTACCAAGAGAGGTTAGAGTTTAAATGCAGAAATTTATAAGTAAAGAGATTCACACTTACCCTTGGCGACTGCCTGATGGTGGGAATAGTATGATGATTGGGCTGATGAAGATCTATGCCCCGGATCTCGTCCACCATTACAAAGAGCAGCACCTGCTCGTTTGGTATACAGTTGCGCTCATCGCTGGGATCCAGACGCATCACATGCGGACACTCGCACTTGAAGGTGCCCTTTCCGCTCAGCAGACATAGATGAGAGCATCCACCGTTGTTCTCCCCACAGGGATTCTTATCCCAGGGCTGGCGACTGGAGTGGAGAACCTGGATTCCAAAGGGCTGCGACTGGGTGCGCTGCAGCACCTGGAAATCACTGCCATTCCACTTGTTGGCCCGTATAACCGACATAGTGCGCCAATCCGTCCAGTACACATAATTCTCAAATACAGAGATGGCAAACGGATGCGAGAGTATATCCTTGTTGCGCAGCACCACATGGTGCTCGGTGCCATCGTACAACGTGCTACTGATCGAATCGGACTTGGCATCCACCCAATAGACACGCTTTTGAGTGTAGTCCAGGGTGAGGCCGTTGGGCCAGCCGGCACTTAGCTGCCAGCTGGTGGAGATCATGCGCCTGCCTTCGCCCGACATGCTGGCTCGCTCAATGCGCGGTGAGTTGTCGTCCCAGTCCGTCCAGAAGAGCAGACCCTCCCGCGGATCTAGGGCTATCGCCCGGGGACTTTCCATGCTGCCCGCGATGAGTGTGCGCCGGAAGCTACCATTCAGCTTGGCCACCTCTATTTGATCTAGATTCGAGTCGATCCAGTACAGGTTCTTGCCTACCCAATCCACAGCCAGACCCTCTGTGGTGGACAGACCGGAGTGGATGACCGCTTCCACATTGCGCAGACTCTCGCCCATCAGCTGTCCCTTGTATATCTTATCGTCGATCACATCCGTCCAGTAGATCTCAATGTTGGACTCGTTAACGTACAGAAAGTCCAGGGCAATGATATTCCTTTGGGAGGTGTAGAAGTTACCCACGTTTAGGGTCTTCAGGTCGATGCCTTTGATGTCCTGCCGGTTCGTGAATATCACATACGGCTCATCCGGGGCGGTGCTTTTGCAGGTGAACTTGTCGTAGGCCAGATCGAATCCCTTCAAGCAATGACACTCATATCCCTTGCCGTTGCTCTCGCACACCTGCGAACAGGTGTCCCAGTGATCGCAGGCATGCTGCATGCTGCAACGCTTGCCGTTCGGCTGCAGGTACAAGTGATCTGGGCAGGAGCAGATGTAGCCCTCCGGTGTGTTATGGCAGCGATGAGAGCACTCGTGGCTACGCTCGCAAAGCTTGTCAGCGCACAGGAAACCCTCGTCTGTGGTATCCTCGCAGTCGTTCTTGCCATCGCACAGTTGATCCACCGTCACACACTGCCTGGAGAAGCCGCACAATCGGTCCGGATGCTCGCAGATCACTGTCTCGTTCAGATCAAAGCGTGTGGCATTGATGTGCGTGCAGTTAAGCTCATCCGTCTTGTCGAAGCAGTGGGGGATGCCATCGCAGCGCAGGAAGTCTGGAATGCATTCGAACGGATCCTGACAGGCGAACTCAAGGGGAGCACACTCGTTCAGCTCCTTCCAGCCGGTCATAGGATGGTTGTCGCTCTTGGTTTGATTGCAATTAGCCTCGTCGCTGGAGTCCTCGCAGTCGTGGATGCCATCGCACATGGTCATCTCACCGTAGCAACCAATGGGGCGGCAGTACTTCTCGCCATGACCGCACTCCTGCTCACAGTCCATTTCATCGGCATTGTTTCTAAGGAGCATATTGATTAGAATAACACTTCTTTGAGGAATATGATGAGGATAACTTACCCGCAATTATCTATTCCATCGCAGACATCTGCAAACTGGCGACACTTTCCATTGCCACAGTCCAACTCCGGACACTTGCTGCCCAAGAAGATCTCCGTCGATTCGTCCGAGTCATCGTCCGGTCCGCAATCAATCACGCCGTCATTCACCCAGGTCATCTGGATACAGCGTCCGCTCTTCTGACAGGTGAACTCATTGCTATTGCAAGTGCTGTGCTCGCAATTAGCCTGGTCCGATCCGTCCGAGCAGTAGGCAATAGAGCTGCATAGCAGGGATCTCTGGTAGCACCGTCCATTGCACACAAAGTGCAGGGTCTTGTCACAGGTCAAGGGATTGCAGGGACCCCTGGCATCGCTGCTCTCATCGATGCCGTCCTCACAGTCCTCGAAGCCGTCGCACATGTCCTTTCCATCGATGCACTGCCGCGTGCTCCGGCACATGAAGCCCGAGGTGCAATTGGGACGAATGGGTGAAGGCGCCAGCTGCGGTATGCAGTGACTCCCGGTGCCATTAAGAGTAAATCCATCTGGACAACGGCAGATGGCTCCCTTGGGAGTGTTCAGGCACATGCCAGGGCACTTGGACTGTGCACAAGCACTAGGGTTCTGCGGCAGTGGTTGAGTGGCCAAATCGAAGATCCTTAGGTCGGCACCTCGTCCAGTTCGCTGTAGATGCACTGTGGAACTGAACGTACTGGAGAGGTTCGCCTGATGGGCATGGAAGCGCCAAATTGTGGAGTTTATATGGCCCACCCAGTAGATCAGTCCATTGCTTTGAACCATGGAATACGGATGGAACTGGTCAGACTTAAAGAGTATCTCCCGTCCGGTGCCATCCAGTTTCATCACCTCAATGGTGCCTAATCGAAGGTCGCACCAGTACAGCTCCTTGGTCCGTCTATCTACATCAAGACTGCGTGGAAATCGCATAGGCATAGTGGTGGTGGCCTTGGCCAGCAATTCCTTGTGCGTGCCATCCATCCAGGCGCTGTAGATGGCGCCCTCGCAGGTCAGTGACTTCCATTGCGTCCAGTACAGCAATCCTGTAATAGGATCCAACTCCAGGGACCTGTAATTAAGAGATTAAGAAATGATCCTTTCCATTAAAAGAACCCTTCTTGACTTACATGACATCGCATTCCATGTTGAAGGTAAGCACCTTGCTCATATTTCTTAAAGGAGCCACCTGCAGCTTTCGATGGCTGGACCAGTAAAGGTGCTCGTTAATCCAGTCAAAGGCCAAAGCATGCACCTTATCCAAACCGCTGACCAACAGTCTGGACACGCTGCCATTCAGGGATTGACTCCGAATGCTGCATGTATGCTCCTCATCACCAATGGGACTGACATCCGCATCGGGAACCACATAAAACACCGACTTGCCACGCACACTCACATCGATGCTGGATGTTAGAGAGACATTGTGCACTGGCACCATCACATCGGGCTGCTCGCCGATCTGTTGCAATCGATGCACCTGCTCAGTGTCCAACGGCACACCCGTAATCCTTGCCAGCTGCTTGTCCGTGTAGACAAGGAATTTGTCCAGAGCGGAGAGAAGGCAGGTGGTCTGATTGTGCAGCTTATAGCCGGCGGTGCAAAGGCATTTGGCGCTGGCAAAGCCGCGGGTCCACTGCGGCACACAAATCTGGTTGCAGCCAGCGTTGTTATCCCGGCACGGATGCGCCACCTCCGGCTGTTTTTGGCGGTGGAAAATGCGGAAATTGGCACCGCGACTCACATCCGGAACGAGGACGCGAGCCTTGAGCGTAAATTTGTCGAGGGTCACGATAGCATTGTCCATCCAGGAAGCCAAATAGATGGTATTCTCAAAGACTTCCAGGGCATGGATGGTTTTCAAAGGCACGGGAGACTGCAAAAGGAAAGAGCAAAGATGGGCAATTGTTAGCGGTTGAAAAGAAGCAGAAAAGTATGCTATAATTGGGCAACTTAAGTGGGTTTACTTTGGGATGACAAAAAGAAAGCTTTAAAAGGTCAAGAAATTGTGAATGTTAAGCCTGAACCTTAAAGAAAAAATATACCACAAAGGTAACCAATCTGTTTACATTCGTTAAGCATCTTATTCAACAACTCTACGAATTCTACTTACATCTGGTGACTTTTTGAGTGTCCAACGATTCTGTCCCTCGTAATTCACCCGCTCAATGACATCCTTGTAGATGTCTATCCAGTAAACCAACTCATTGGCCAGATCCAAAGCAATACTACTCGGATGATATATCTGTTCGGTGACCAGAACTGTGCGATTGCTCCCATCAAGCAGCGACCGCGATAAACTTGGCGTATAGTCCGTGGTAAACAGATAGCCCTTGGTGGGATCCAGAACCAGCGAGGAAATATGCTCCACCTGCTGCAATATCAGGCGGCAGTGGGTCATCGCATTGGTGCACAGATAAACCAGGCCGTCGTCCTCGTTCAGCAAATACCAATTACCCGCCAGCCAGTCCAGCCGCATCTCCGTAAAAACTGCGAAGGAAGAACAAACAATGAAAACAGGACTTGGGTCGAGATAAGAGTCTCTCGCCTCCCGTTTTGGGAGACCAGACCAAACCCCACCCCCGTGGAGACTCACATTGTTGCGCCGAGATGAACGAGGATATGGGCAGCGTCCAGTTGACCCGGTCATCATCGATGCGCTGGCACTGCATGTGCAGCTCGTGCCAGCTGTTGTGCAGGGAGCAGAGGGTACGGTTCCGGTGCCACACCTCGAAGGCGTGGACAAAGCGCGCCGACTGCGTGGACAGCGGCTGACTCCCAGCAGCGGTGCCGTCCTCCTTGTCCTGGTCATTATCCGTTTTCCTATCTATATCCTTCCCCCACGGTGCCGGACTGGGGCCGATGACTTCGCCATTCGTTCCAATACGCCGGATGTTGCCCTGCGATAGCAGAGTCAGCGTTGCGGGCTCCGTGGGTGGCACTATAAATTGAGTGGGATTAGCTGGGTCCTTGACTGGAATGTTTTTTTTTTTCGGGTATGCTCCTGGCACTTACCATTGATGGCCCGGCAGCGCCTTCCCTTGGACTTGGCATAGCCGGAAACGCAGGAGCATTCATAGGAGCCTGGCGTATTGCGGCACACCTGGTCACAGGTGCCGGGTTCGGTGCATTCATCGTAGTCCACGCAGCGGGTGGAGTTGACCGATTCGGATACCTGACCCTTGGGGCAATAGCAGCGTGGCCCCTGCGGGGTCAGTTTGCAGTTATAGCTGCAGTTCAGGGCGGCACAGGCCGCGTTCTGTTTATCTGTGGGGAATTACATTAAATTTTGGTAATTAATTGGATCAAAACAATCCTTCTTTTAAAGGGAAATAATTCTCTTTTAATTGCATTTATATATGTTAGATACTTTAATCTAATTAATGTATCTTTTCTTATGTAAATATCCTATAGATATCTGATCCAACTTACCACATTGCAGCTCATCATTATCACAGTCCCAGTGGCCATCACAGAAGCGGGACAACTCCAGACAGTCGCCATTGCGACACTCGCTCTCAAAGGCCCGACACTTGGGCGCAGCTCCATTGGGACCTAGTCGGGGGTATACATATATGGAATCAGTGGGTCAATGGGTGGTTCGGCTCACTCACAGTTGGTCTCATCGGACGTGTCGCCCTTGCCGCAGTCGTATTCACCATCGCAGAGCCAGTTATCCGGAATGCACTGGCGGCTATGCCCGCACCGAAATTGTCCCTCGTTGCACTTGGGCGCCTTGGCTGGAAGGAGAAGGAAGGAAGGAACAAGCTCAGTACACACACACACACACCACACACTCCCGTGCAATAACAATAACCGAAATGAAGATTTATGGACGGGTTTGTTAGTGGTTCGCATTTCGGCCACCGAAAGTTGGTGCTTTTGCTGCTGTTGTTCGTACAAATCGTTGAATTATTTCGCGAGATATCGTAAATAAAACGCAAACAAGAGCAGTCCTGGCAAACTTTCGCCAGATATAAAAGTTTCAACTCGCACTTTAAGTGGAAAATCCTAAAAATAACTGTGAAAGCCCAGCACTTTTCGGGCCAACGGAAAGAAAAGTGTCATCAATAGTGTTATCAGGGATTCTGGGATTAAGGACAGAAGTATATAGGGATTACAAAACACTTTTAAAGAAGACTTTACCATATAATAAAGCTGTATTATTAACAAGGTATCTATAACTAATCAAGAAATAAAGAAAGAAAAGTTATGTATTTCTTAAGTTATTGTTCAAGTAATCTCCCATTTCTCAACTTCTCAGAGTCATATTTCTAATAGAAAACAAATTAGTTCCATGGCAGATGGCTGCATAGACTTTTCCAGGATATTCCTTCTCCTTTAGCGTCAACTCTCGTCTGCCATTACCCAATTAGCTCCACTCTTAATAAAGGACCCTGCTTCGTATTCCCATTTTGAGGGGGTGACAATGGCCAACCCTCAAAACACCAAGGGGTAGTGGAAAAAAGTGTGACAAATACGCTACGCTAGATGGCCAGTTAATTTTTGGGTTGACTTTGCTTCCAGTTAGTTGAACTCCCCGTGGCACTTGAAAATGTTTAACAATTGCCAGGGACAGCAGTGGCAGCATCATTTCTGACCATTTTCTAGAGGGCGAGAGTTGATTAAATAAATGCCAGGACCCCACTTTTGGTCCACCAACTTCTCCTCCTTCACTCTCCATGGTAGCCTTGATAAAATTCCTGAAACTCGCGGATTCGTTTTTCCTGTGTGTGTGTGTTACTCTCCGTTGAGGAAAATAAAAAATTTAAACTTTGCTCTGGACTCGGTGACTGCATGCCCTTGGGCTTATTACGTATTATATCCGTGTGCCTGGCTCACCCCCTTTTCCCATCCCATCCTCCCAACTCCAAGGCACACGGCACATGCAAATTGCCCCGCGAATACGGAAGTAAGGAGAGGAATCGTCGGAGACATGGACACGTCCATTGGCTGTCTCTGGAGTTTAACCTCTTGGCAAGGAAAATATTTTTGGCCGTTCCCATGTGTCGCCAATGTGGCTTTTATGGTTATAGTCGCGCATGTCGGTCGGTCGGGATGTCAGGAGCTCTTTGTGTTGGTTTTCCTCCACCAAGGACCACCCACTCTCATACCGGCATCCAGTTTGTTGTCATGGTATTGTCATTGCTGGTGTGTCACTGATTTGGACCTTCTCCCGATTGCTACGGAGCAGAATACAACGCATTATTTGAATTCTTCTTCAGCTCTAGCGGAATATATATTCCTTTTTATTTGTGTCAAGCAATTTGCATCTCACAAGCAGCACAAATGTGCGACAACGAGTCTAGGACAAACAGGGAAATATTATAATATTGTGTCGGTAATGTCTGGAGCAGTATGGAAACATACCATTTGAAGTTAACTTGAAGGAGGGAGAGACCTCATAAAAGTTGATACACTCAAAAGAGTGTGAATAAATAAATTGAAACGCAATCAGAGATGATTGAAATTGAAAGGTTTTGATATAGTTTGTTACTATTTCACTCTCTAACTAATTCCATAAAAAGTGCACTCAAAAATCTAGTTAAAGCTCACACACTCACACTTTTTAAACCCACTAGACTGCATTTAAGTCAAGCAGCAAATTTAAAAGTTTCGTATAAATTTGAATAAAAAATATATATATGTATATTTCAAGAGGATCGGATACGTTGTTCGCTTGGTTGAGGAAATTTTTTTGTCGGTAGTGTAACGAGGCCAGTTTAAATGCAATATATCAAGAGACTTTTATACATATATATATATTTATACATATAGAAGCGACAACACTTTATAAAGTGCATATGTACATATATGTGTATATATATGCATTCAGTTCAGTTTAATTGAAATTGCGCGGAAGGCAACTGATGGAGCAAAAGAGGAGCAGGAGCTGCCGGGGAGGAGTTTGGCAAATGTGGATGACAACGATGTGCCAGGCACATTTATTATAATCTGTTGCATTAATATTTGCCGACAATTTGTCGTCTGAGTTGTCAGCCTCTCTCTCTTTCCATCCTGCTGCAGTGTCATAAAAATTAAATTAAAAATGCCAGAAGAACTCTCTGGGCCAGCGGCAGAAGCAATTGTTGCAGCTTCACAGCTCACAGTTCGTTGCTTTTATTGGGGCAAAACAAGAGAAGAGAATAAAAAATGTCTACACATTTATTTAGCGTTGTCCACTTATCATCCCTCAAGGAAATTAAGGACAATCGCCAGAATCCACTGTCCACTCGACACTCGACAACCAGAGTTGGCTTTTAAAGTCCAGTCCCTGGGCTTGGGCTTGGGCTTTCAATTTACGGATTTGCCGGTTGGCCCCAAAAATGGTTTTGGCAACTAATTGCATTTCCTACGGCCCCGTTTTGGTTTTCCTTCCTCACCCACCCCCTCGCCATTCCAGGCCATGTATTTGCGGTAAATTTTTAGTCCTGGCCACACAGCCCACCTGTCATTAGAAGGAACACCCGGGGAATGTTCCCAACCGAACAGTCAAACCAATAATAAAGCAATCACCGACTGCTAATGTCTCCAGCGGGTAGCCGGGAATCGTTAGGGATTCGAAATGGGTATGAGTATAGGGTATGTGGTATGGAAAAAGTGGGGAAACCCATTTGAATACTCACCGCACTCGCTGCTCTCATCGGACCTGTCCGGACAATCGGCCTTCGAGTCGCATCGCCATCGCATCGGTATGCAGAATCCATCGTTGCATGTGAAGTACGAGGCTGGACAGGGACCTGCAATCGTATAGATGACGGAATAATGGTCACTCGTTGCGATTTGACATGAAGAAATGCCGAAACGAGAATATCGAGGCGGCCATTCAATCATTTGGGTCTGTCAGAGTAGGATTTGTAATGAATCGACCGTCAGTCAGAGCGAGAGGTGAGTGTGTGTATGTACGTCTGTGGCATTGAAGCAATTATGGTAATCTCTCTGAATTGTATTGTGGCTAAAGAGTCCTTTCTAGGCTTTGAGAATTATGTATACATGCTGATATTTACATATTCACTCGAATGTACTTTAGACTTAAGCCAGATATTCGATCTGAAGACTAAGGGAGAACAAATTTGAAGAGAGCAGCTAAACAAAAATGCTCTCGTTGTTGCTTGTACAGTGCAGGCAAGGCGTAGAAAAGAGATAGAGAAAGATCTTTTAGGTAAAAAGCGGAGCGAAACTTTCTAATTTTCAGAATTAGAAAGCAATGGTACAGGGAAATAGAAAGCTTTTCTTTCGGTCGCCTTCTTAAAAGGGTCTCTGGAGAACTGATTAAATATAAATATATTATATAAAAGATAACAAGAAAGTTCTTAAAATTTAAAAAAATTTTACCGATGCAACCCTTAATAGAATTTTAAAAAATTGATTTTATTTTTATTCTGATCAAGAATATATATGATTTATAGGGTGGCAAATGGTTCATTCACTAGATTTCATGCCTTTGACTAAAATTGAAATACCTAGGATATAAATATAATACATAATCTTCTATTTTTAAAATTGATTAAAATTTTTACGATATCCCAAATTACCTTAAAATCTCTCAATATTAATGTTATAAATATATCCCCAATAAAGTCCCCAATGGGAACTCCCCATATATTGAAGCTCACTTCTATATTAAATACCCGGTAATAAAAGCATTGCATAATTTAAATAATTCACATTTTCCCCTGAACAAATTTTTAATATGGCACAGACATATTTCAAATCGTCAATCAACGCACGCTCACATAAATTATATCAGAATAATTCCAATTTCAATCACTTGATCCACAGCTGTGGCCCCTACACACACAGAGGTTTGCCAAATTATTTTTCCATTAAATATGCAGAGTGGAGACGTGTTAACGCCGGTTGGACCACAAATCCAGGAACCCACGAACACCCAGCCATTTCCACTCCCTTTTTCATCTAGCTTTCTGGAAAATGTCAGATAATTCCAATGTTTATGCAGTTGTTGTAGTAGCTCCCTGGTACGTGCCTACAATTAAACATTAACAACAACGGAGCGAGCAATATTGCCGGGAGCAGCAACTGTTCTGGGCCAAGTTACAAGTACGTGACTTGGAGGGGGAGCACTACTACTGCATCATTAGCCAACAGGGTCGAAGCTGTTCCTAACTTGGGGCACAAACAATAAAAAACTAATTTAAATTTGCTTAGAGCATAAATAAGCAGGTGTCAGAAATTGTGTTCCTGATAACACCAAAACAACCGCTTTTTCGGGGCTTTTGGGAGGCCCACTTTTCCAAGTTAAACAATGGTATCTTTGGCTATTGACACAGCCGTGGTAGAAGCTCTAGTTTTTCTTTTGGAGGGACCATAAAAGCCATGGCCTGCGGGTAGTGCTGCAACAGAACGCATCCATCAGCCATGTCTTCCAAGTGGCTTCTACTCGTGGCCCTGGTGGCCTTGCTCAGTATTGGCACAGGCACCTTGGCCAAGCCCAGGCATCAGCAGAGTGTCCAGGCCAGAGCCTCGCTTAGGGATCGGGATCTCCAGCGCCTGAATTCCAGATACTATGCCATTGCCCAGGATGAAGAGGATGGCGATGATATCCTGGAGCATGAGCAGGATCTGGGAGACGATGCCGAGGACCAGGATGAGGAGGAGGACGAGCAAGAGGTTGACAACAAAGTGGAACAGGTATTGGCAGCCAAAAAGGTAAACACTGCCAAGACAGAGACCAAGGTGGCTGAGCAAGAGGAGCAGGATGAAAACCAGGATCTGGAGGAACTGGAACCTAAGCAGGAGGAGGAGGAAGAACTCGAGCAGGAGCTTGTTGAACCCCGGGCACAGACACGCAGACGCGGCTCACGACGCAACAGGGCCGGCCGTAGGGGTCGTGGCCGCAAGAACCGTAGGCGTGGCAACCGTCGCTGCGGCGGCAAGGGCAGGCGGGGACGTGGTGGCAAACGCCGACGCACTGCATCCAAGCGAAGTGGCAACAAGCGGACATCGGGTTCCAAGCGACAGGGCCAAAAGACCAAGACCAACAAGACAGCTCAAAAGCAATCTGCGCCATCCACAAAGGTAGCTTAGAGATCTTATAAGTCGCTCTAAACTCAAATTAAGCGGCATTGAAACTCTTAAAATATAAATTAATATAACAAAATAGGTTAATTTGTTTTTATTTATTTTAAAATATTTCAATTAATTTATATTCCGTAAAGTTGAACAGCATGGAGGAACCAAAGTACTTGATATTTACAGGATAATGCCTATTAACTGTGGTTTGCATTATTTCCGCTGGACAATCTGATTTAAGGACACAGATTTGACGATCGCCATCGATTATATAGCCCTCCTTACAGACGCAAGGACCTCCACATTTACTAATACAAGTTCTGCTCACAAATTCACAAGTTTCGGGACAGGCAGTAGGACACTTGGCCAGGGTGCCATTTACAGAACAATCTATATTCGAGATATCAAGTTCCGAAGAAACTAAAGCTAGAATGCTATAAAATATAAGACAATTATATTTTAGAGTCATTATAGTTGGAGGATGATGAAGCTACTGAAGTGGCTTTAAGTCTGGGATAGGTTAACGAAGGTGTGTGAAATTCCAATTATAAAAACCTTGGCATTAACAATTTAATTAGTCAAGCTACAGTACAGAATATTTCTATAACTTTTTCTGCTCTGATACAAAGTCCAGCGAAAGCTTAATTAATGACTCTGCTGAAAGTCCGATTTAATTTATTTTCCAACATATTTCCCAAGAGTTGTGTTATATCAGGGCTTTTTCCCGCAATGATCTGCTAATATCTCGGTACGTATCCAACTGACTAAACTTTATTGTAGCATACTTTTCGGGCCACATTTCGCCAGAGAAAGTTTTTATCGCGAAACACACACACATATAGGTGTGTATGCGTGACCCTGTTGGGATGCCAGGCTGCAACCACAAGTCATAAATTTCGCCAGCTATTCTGCTTTTGTTATAGTGTTTTTTTTGTATTTATTTATACCTGTGCACCGTGTATGACCCCATAAATTATAGAACGCTGCAAATTTCGCTTGGCGGCTTTGCACTGTTCGAAATTAGTTTTACGCCTCTTTCTGATTTAACCCATATTGTGGTTCACTGCACTTGCTCTACATAAAAATCAAAAAATATATATATATGGTATATAAAATAGGGATGCAGCTTCTTTCTCATCCTTCTCAGTACCAGAACCTGCACTCAATTTCAGTTTATTTTCCCTTCAGCTTATCTGTGCAATGTGCTGCCTTTGGCCATTGAGTTCGTTTACCCAACAGCGTCGTCATGCCAATCGCTTGTTCAAGGATGTTCCACAGAAAAGGGTCCTTTCCTTTCCAGTTGGAATTTAACACCTACACAAAAGGGTTTCCAGTTCTGTAATGGCTTAACCACAAAGATGTGCAAATAAATGAGAGATAAGCCTCCTTCTCCAGAACCTAATAAATCCAATTTAGATGTATTATTTTCCCAAAGTTAATAAGTAAAAATGTGTGTTTAATTCTGTGCCGTCCTTAATTGCGAAATTGCTTTTGAGAATGACCACCAGTTCGTCCTGTGTTTACTCTGTCTACCTGTAGCCAATTTCGAGCTGGTCTTATCTGTCTGGAACTCTGCTCCTGCTGTTGGCAGTTGGTCAGCACAATGGCTGGGGTTGTGTACACCACGTTCACTATAGTCTGCGGCCCAGCTCCTGCAAGTCCTGCCAGCTTGCCTCCTGCCTCCTGACTGTCTGCCACTGACATTTGCCAAATCAAATAGAAATTTTAATTGACTCTTGGCTGGCTGACCGTGCCTTCTCTTGGGGGTCGTCTTTAATGCCATTATTTAAGCTTTAAAGCCTTTGTCCTAGCTATTTGCTCCTCCAACGACCTCACTCTCTCCCTCTGTGTCCCTCGCTTGTTTTTCAATCAGCGCGGAAAAACGGGTTAAGCGCCTTTTCGGCTCGAAGGGAAATTTGCATCTGTCGCTGTTGCGAATTATGTGGGCGCACACCAAAAAAGGAAAGTTTCAGATTCAGGATTCGGATTCAGTTCAGCAACCATCCTCCCCTTCTCCCTTCAGGCGGCTCTTCTCTGTTTGTCAACAACTTTGGGCGCCTTCTATACCCATTATTTGGGGTATGCTGAAGATGTTTGTTTTTGAGAGAAGGAAAATCTACGCTTCGGGCTCTAGCAAAGCTACATTTAAGAGTCTTTAAGTGTAGAGCCTTAGGGTATGCAATAATATTGTGAATATAGAGTAAAAGAGCATTAGGAAATGTGTATTTAAAACAAGGAAACAATTCATAAACACAAGAGAAAAAAAATATAAAATTCTGTCTTAGATATCATCTCTCAATTTTTTAATAAAAGTAAACTCATCTACAATATCTCCAAGTTGGAATACTCAACTCCCCGCTTTTCCCAGCTTTTTGTTCTTGTTTTTGTTTGCTTTTTGGGTCAAAAGATGTGTATATGTGTGAGTGTGTTTGCACGTTGTTTGGTTGTGTGCAACATAGTTTTTCACTTAATTAGCGCGCTGAATGACGCGTTGACAGTTGGCAGGAGTACGTGCCACGCCTGCGGGGCATGCAACACACAGTTTTCCGTGATTGTTCTTGTTGTGCCAGAAAGAGATGGCGCGGGCGGAGTTGTTCCTGCTGCCGCCGCCGAGTGACAGAGATTTTTGCGTCCTGTGGAACTTGAAACAGCAGATGCACAGCCCGAGAGGCAGCGTTCATAATTAAGGACAATTGTTGTTTATCACGGCAATAAAAGGTCGACAGATTGATATTATTCCGGTTGTCTCGACAGGTTGTTCTTGTTTGAAGCTTAAAGGAATCTTAAGTCTGGGGAGACTTTAAAACAAATAGAGGAACTTCCTGGGTAAGAAAATCGTTCTTTTTAATATGATTACTCAAACCTAAATTTCTTAAAATGAATCCTCTTTTTCTCAGACTTGACCCAAGTATGCTTAAAATGTTGCAAGACAACTCAGAGATCTGTAGGAATTAATTGCCACTGAAATTTCCACAGCAAAACTTAACGATTGGACGTAAAGCTGCCATCATTTTCCAGGCAGAATCCTGAAAACCCTTCATCCACAATTCGAGTCCATGAATATCGTAAACATTTTCACTGCCAGCCGTTGAATTTCCGTTGTCAGCTCGTGCAATTTGCAGTTCACACATCACTTTTACTTCCCAGGCTCAGTCAGGATGCCTTTCCTTCCTCCTCCCCCACCCTCTGGTATCAACGCTTTTCCCGGGCTTTTCATCTGCTTGCGCCTTTAATGACATAAACTTTGAGAAAAATTTACACATCGCACGATACTTTTTCTTTTCGCAATTGCTACGTTTTTTAATGAGCAGTAAAAGGCGAGGGGTTTCCTTTAAAAATCGATGAGATAAAAAAATGTTTTACGAAACACAAACTGAACACAGAAAGGGAAAGAATAAAAGCAGGGCATCTTTGCATATCCTGATCTATAAGATATATAGATACTAGATTTCACTCTTTATGAAAAGGAAAAAAAAATTAGCTTTGAAAAATTAATATTATAGTAGCCATTTCCTGCTGACCTGGTCTTCTATGAAAAAAAGGTGACAAAGTGAGGACTGACTGGAACGGGCATAACAGATTTCCGCTTGTCCAATGGTCGAGCAACCAAACCAACAACAGGAAGCCAAGCTGCATCCGGTGGGCTTTCACCGCTGCGGTAATGCCCGGTCAGCATCTGGCTGTACATACAAATATGGCGGCTTCCGTTGGCATTTCAACTTCCTTGCTCTGCGGTCTCAATTTTCATTTATATCGACATCCCAGCAATGTCTGATGCTGCTGCTACCATCTCTGTCCACTCAGCTCAATGTATAATTTAATGCACTGATGTGCGCATAATGAGCATGATTGACATAAATGTACTTTAAATGCACACGGGAATTGGTTCTGGGTTTGAGTTTGCAGAAGGATGAGGATGTGGAGCTGAGTTTGCCTGAATAGAGCAAACAAAGGCTTGCCAGTCAGACAGGACAGGACTCTAGTGATGCTAATTTGGATTTTTATTGGCAGGGTATTATATTATATATATTTTGAACTAAGATAATATTTATTAAACTTTAGCAGATTTCTAGAAATGATTGGGTTTCAATTACTTTTCATTATATATTAAGAAGCTCCATCAGTGTTTTTCTCTCTTTGCCTTGCTCGTTCCTTTACGCTTTGCCTCGCTCGTTCCTTTACGCTTTGCCTACCATGTACAAGCACAGTGACAACAAAGGCTTATAAGTTACGTTTAGTAACAAAAGAGACAGGTATTCTTTTGCTGCACTCTTAAACAGCTGTTTGTCTTATCTCTTTCTTTGAATTTAAGTTTAAGATAGAAACCAAAAGGGTAATATATAATATAATGTAAAAATTTATCTCAATTCTGTGCGAGTATTATCTTCTTTCATTTAAAAATTGATTTATAAAAACCCCAAAAAAGTATGTCCTCCTTTTCACTATTGAAAAAAGAAGAATCCCGGCATCACTGAATGTTTGAGTAGGTGGCGAAAATTGGGGTTTTGCCTCCGGAGCAGGGAACCATGTCCGTCCGGCTTTGGTTTGTTTGTCGTGAGCAGTGGACTTTGCCGGCGCTTTCGGTTTGCTCGCTCGGTTTGTTGTCTGTGGCCGTATGTTTTGGGCACTTAAATCGAGTTTATTACGTGCTTCTGCACGGCCAAATGGCCAAAATGGCCAAATGGCCAACTGGCCAAATGAAGGCGGTGCTGGCAAGTGCAATCCTAAAAGCCAAATCACTTAGAACCGAAAAGTAAAATAAAACTTTAACCCCTAACTTTACTACTATGCTGGCTCTCTGTTTGGCTTGCAACCGCACCAACTTGTAAATGAGTATTTCGTTTATTAAATTTAATTGTTTTTTTGGGTAATGCACAAAGACAGCAGCAACAAAAAAATAAGAAACAATAAAACACAAGACCGCAGAAAAGTTTTCCTATCGCAAAAGTTTGAAAAGCAGTTATGACTTGAAACAAATGGGGAATTATTGGATCTGAAACGTATTTTGGGGAGCT